AGCCCTCGAATGGAACCCTCAGGGGAATAGGAAAAGAGGAAGGGTGAAGACAACCTGGAAGAGGTCGGTCGATAAAGAAATCAAGGAAGAGGTTCAGAGCTGGGGTGAAATCAAGCTGATGGCACAGAACCGTGTACGGTGGAAGGCGATTGTGGCAGTCCTACATCCCCATGGGAAAACAGGAATTAAGTCAAGTAAGTCATATATTTATATAATGTGTAACTACCGTTATACCAATGGCCTACAAATTACACCAAACTATTCAGCTTAAAATGCACAAATAAGTGTGTGTAGTCCAGCTGTCTTTAAAAAATCACACATCATGATGTTCTTGAGAAAAACATTGTTAGTATTATAGGTGATTCAATATACCTGAATATTTTCCCCTATGAAACTGGCTAACAAATTTAAGAGTGAATTAAATGTCTACTACACTGTAGTATATCTGTACCGTATTCAAATCTACCCACACCTTGATTATGTTACTGTTGTGTTTTAAATAAAGAATAGATTTGAATAACTTAATGAACTCATTTTATTAAGATGTAAACAGAAAACAAAACTGTAAAATCAAAACATAAACAATCATATTAAAATAATGATCAGCTGGTATAGCAATCCTCCTCCTTTATTTTTCTTCATATACTTACAATCTTCTTATTTGGTCCACATGTCTTTTACACACAATTCCGTCTTCCATTCTAACAAGATAAATAACATTTCCTATTTGTTTCTCAATTTTTCCAACTGTCCATTTGTCATTTGAATTAAGGGAGTAGTTCCTCACCAGCACTCCCTCTCCTATATTAAAGTGTCGCTTTGTTACTTGCATCTCTGTCTCTTTCAAATTAGGCTTCTCTACTAATAGATCAAGTTCTGTTCTTATATTCCTCCCAAACATGAGGCTATAGGGAGACTTCCCAGTCGTGGAATGCTGTGTTTTTCTCAACTGTTTTAGTATAGTGTTAATCTTGCTCTCGACACATCCATTTGCAATTATAAGGCTCTTCACAGTTTGGACCACCCTTTCAGCTTGTCCATTTGACTTAGGACAAAATGGAGCTATGGTTTTTTGTATTATTCCATACCTTGTGAGAAAATCTTTGAAAGGTTTTGAAGTTAGCTGAGTTCCATTGTCTGATACCAGGACATGAGGAAACCCGAAGGTTGTAAATAATCTATCCAATTGCTTAACACACCAAGCTGTGGTTGTAGATTTTGTAGGTATAATTTCTACCCACTTACTGTAAGCGTCAACGACGATTAAGTACCATCAACCCCGCAGTGGACCAGCAAAATCAATGTGTATGCGTTCCCAAGGTCCGTTCGGGAGCTCCCATGGGTGAGTTGTCTCCTTAGGTGGATTTTTCAATTTTTGTTGACATGAATGACAATGTTTCACCATAGCTTCAATTTCTTGATCCATATTCCTCCAATAACAGTAGCTTCTAGCTAGCAATTTCATTTTGTCATGCCCATATGACCAGCATGTAATTCTTCCAAGACTTGTTTGTGTAAAGTGGAAGGTACACAAATTCTATGCCCTCTGAATATGCAACCGTCTTGTAGACAAAACTCATTATCATTCAAACTGAGTTCTTTTAAGCTTTTTCCTGATATAAGATGATACCTTTTTAAGTTCCTTGTCCTTTTGTGTTTCTTCTTCAATTTGTCTTCTTGATACAGGCATCATCTCTACTTGATTTATTAGATACCGTTCATGGTCGTCACATACATTTGATACTTCTGTAACAGGAAATCTTGATAAATAATCCACATTAGCATGTTGTGTCGTACTTCGGTATTCAATCGTATAGTCAAAACCCGATAAGAAATGAGCATAATTAAAAATCCTTGATGCAGTCATAGATGGTAAGGCCTTTGTCGGGTTGAAGATGGCTACAAGGGGTTTGTGATCAGTTATTAAAACAAACTTCCTTCCATAACAGTATGCAAAGAATTTCTTTAAGCCCCAGTAAATTCCCACAGCTTCTTTATCTATCTGACTGTATTTGCGTTCTGTTTTCGTAAGCGATCTTGATGCAAATGCAATGGGCCTCTCAGATCCATCCTTGTATCTATGTGATAAGCAAGCTCCTAGCCCTGTAGGACTTGCATCTGTTGCTAGGATTAACGTTTCATTTGGGTCATAGTGAGCTAGAGTTTGATCACTTGTTATTTCTGCTTTTACTTTCAGAAATGCATCTTCACATTCTTGAGTCCACGTAAATTGTTTTCCTTGCCGTAACAAACCATTCAGTGGTTCCAGTAAGCTGGACATGTTTGGTACAAAACGTGTGTAATAGTTGGCAAGACCCAAAAATACTCTTAGCTGGTGTACACCACTTGGTCGTTTGGCTTTAATTATAGCTTCGATATTATCAGCAGATTTGTGTAAGCCATTTTCGTCTATGACATGTCCTAAATATTTGACACTCTTCTGGAAAAATTTACATTTGTCACGATTCAAGCGCAAGTTAAACTGTTTGATTCTTCCAAAAACTTTCTGTAGGCGATCTAATGTTTCTGAAATAGTGCTCCCCTGTATCAAAATATCGTCAAAAAAAAACTGTACATTCCAGACCATGGAGAACCTTATCCATAAACCGTTGCCAAATACTTGGTGCAATTTTTATGCCAAACATCATTCGATTTACTCTATAAAGTCCCAGATGTGTACTTATGGTCTGTATTTCTCTAGATTCTTCGTCCATCGGAAGGTGTAGATAAGCATTACTTATGTCTAATGTGCAGAAATATCGACCTTTATTCATGTTAGAAAAAATATCTTCAATTCGCGGGATTGGGTATTTGTCGTCACATATAAGTTTGTTTGCCGTCACTTTGTAGTCAGCACAAATTCTTACGTTTCCATTTGCCTTTCTTACTGGAACAATAGGAGTTCCCCATTTTGAATTTTCAACTTTTGATATTATTCCATTACTCTCCAGTCTATTTAGTTCTTCTTCAACTGATTTCTTCAATGCGTAAGGAACTTGTCGAGGTTTGATAAAAATAGGTCTAGCTCCTTCTTTTAACTCTATGTGACCTTGTTCTGATTTAATTTTTCTGATTTCGGGAGTGAAAATTTCTTGAAACTCTGTCAATAGTTTGTCCAATTTTTCTGAACAATCACTTTCAACCACTTTGATATCTGCCCAATCCATTTTTACTTCTCTCAGCCACTCTCTTCCAAATATTGGCTCAACCTTTTGTCTCAGGACATACAACTTTCCGTAGAAATTAAAATCTCTGTATTTACAATCGACAAAACAAACTCCAAGAGGCTTGATGATTTCACCAGTATGATTTCAACAGCGGTTTTGAAAAGACGTTTATTTACATGTAGTGATTGAAAATCGCTGTAAGATATTGAGCTTAACGCTGCTCCTGTATCAAGTTCCATCTTCAGCTTCTTTCCCTCAATGTCCACATCTATTAAAAACTTATCACTTCCAGATGAAGTTGATCCCATTGTATAAACCTCGTGGATCGATGAATGGTTGTCCTCAATATCAATTAAGTTTGATTTCAATTCCTTGTTTTTCCCAGTTCTTACATCAGTTCCACATGTCCACATCTATTAAAAACTTATCACTTCCAGATGAAGTTGATCCCATTGTATAAACCTCGTGGATCGATGAATGGTTGTCCTCAATATCAATTAAGTTTGATTTCAATTCCTTGTTTTTCCCAGTTCTTACATCAGTTCCACTTCTAGATAAGCAAACCCTTGAAATATGTCCAATCTTATTACATTTCCTACAGAATTCGTTCTTAAATCTGCATAAATTAGCCTTGTGCTGTTCACTGCCACACCTGTAACACTTGCCTCTTAAATCTTCAAATGAAACTATGGGTTTGTTTCCCTTAAATTGACTTTGTTTGTCTTTGTATCCAGATTGTAGGCGGTTAATGTTTGCAGTTTCTTTTAGAATTGTATTTCCATTTCTCCGGTTAATCTCATAACTTTCAGATTTAGATTGTTCTATGGAAATCGCAGTTTGTACCACTTCGTTGTAAGAAATTTTACCATCTTTTTCTTGAAGAAATCTAATTCTAATTTCATTGTCTTTTAACCCCCGTATGAACTGCATTTTTAAGAACATATCACTTACCGTACTTTCACAGTTATAACAATAAAAATCACAGTCCGTTGCTAAACGTTTAAGTTCTCTGGCATATACGGCTATGTTCTCTCCAGGTTCTTGAACCTTGCAAACAAATTTATGTTGGTTAGCTAGTATGCTAGGTGAAGGCTCAAGACAATTTTTCAAAGATTCTGTGAGTTCATTGAAGGTTTTGTCACCTGGTAACTCAGGAGCTAATGTATCACACAATGTTTGGTGCATCTCTGGAGAAAGTGTACTGACAAACAAACATGTCTTGGTCTTATCATCTGTAATTTTCTTTAACTGAAAATAGTTTTCAAGTCTCATCAAAAAGTTTTTAAATGTCTCGTTCTCTGTGTAAGGTGTAAAGTTAATGTTAGGTACATGGCTATCGTGTGCAACTGATATAGAAGTTGTGTGTTCATCTGTAGATTTGTTCGGTATAAAGAATGGCTGTAACAATGCTCTTATCTCTAAATATACCTCTTCTACATCAGCCCTGTAATCTTCTTCTTGTTCAAAATCATCTTCATCTTCTATTTGTAAAATATCTTCGTGTAGTGAGATGAATTTATGCCAAGCTTCCTCTGCTACATTTAATCTGCCAGGAGCATCATTGACTGATGAACCCTTGCTTTTTAATAGGTGTAGAGTTCTTGTAATCTGGCCTTTTAGTGCTCCTCTTTTATGTTTCAGTCTTCTGATATCATTTCTTTCATCACTCGTCGCCATTTGTTGTGTTTTTCGTCGCCATTTGTTGTGTTTTAAATAAAGAATAGATTTGAATAACTTAATGAACTCATTTTATTAAGATGTAAACAGAAAAAAAAAACTGTAAAATCAAAACATAAACAATCATATTAAAATAATGATCAGCTGGTATAGCAGTTACCTTTCAAGGCTTTTTCCAACGACGACCTCTTTTAGCTGAACAATGTTTTCATGTCGACAGCTCAAGAGGACAGATATTTCCCTGAGTCCGCTCACAGGCAGTCCATCTTTCTCGTGTTCCATTCGTACTTTCTTCAAAGCAACAACACAATCATTCTTCGTATCCAGAGCTCGATCTAAAACAACACCCAGGATAAATCTTCAACCATACGGTACATCTTGAAGGAAAGATAAAATTACTTTAACCTACGACTACGACAGTTTTTTAAAGTAGCCATTTCAGTTCAGATAATAGAACTGGAAAGTTTCTCATTACAGCATTGTTTACTTGTACGTCTTAAATTAAACTACTATATCACCTCCATCTCTAATTTACACTTCAGTATAATCGGTTTTGATCAACTGGGAATAGATTGGCCTAAAAAGGCCATTTGGACAAAATTCAATTTCACCACGACCCTTTGAACTCCATGTACTGTTTAGTGACCTACTGTCGAGTCAAAAAGTATACCCAGATACTCGAGTTTGAGCTTTTGTTTAAACGTAACCAGTAGACTTAAAAAAATACAAGTTACATCATATTTTTACAAATTTATTTCTGCGTTTGTATGTGTATTGGTTTCAAATTTTGTATGCAGTTTCAAATCAGTGAGTTGAATGTAAAAGGTACAGGTTTTTTTCCGCTTTCCTAACAACAGGCGACTTTAACATTTAATAACAAAAAACTACTGACATAATCGTCATGAAATTTTGATAGCTTTTAGAACTTATACTTATAAAGCATATTATTAAGTTTTAGAATTTTGCGCCAATTAAAAAATTCTGTTAATGGTTTTAGTAAAGGCATTTTATTTCAGGGATAGAACAAGTTAGAAACTACGATGAAAGCTTAAATTAAAGCTCCAAAAAAGATACAAATGGAAAGTTAAGTTACACATTAGCTAAGTGACCTTTAATAATTAAAATGTACGTGTAATCAAAGATGTTCTGAAACAAAATACAGTAGTGTTTGAAATTTGTACCGATAGGTATCGATCCGCAGGCGAGAGTTCTCCCCAACCGGGACCGGTTTTGGCAGCACGGACGCTCAAACGATTAATCATACATACCCCGTGAGGTCCTAACATAAACAGGTGAACCTACATTTATTCGAACGAGTTCGCAAACCGGCATGATCGGACTATGGGAACAGGGGTTTATGGGGAGTTTTATGGGGTTTACCCATTTTTTACCCTAGAAATAAAAAAAAATTGCAATTTATGTCCGAATAATTTTATAGAGCTTAAAAAACAAATAATTTAGTATACTGAAGCGTTATTATGCGCCTAATAGTTACGGAGAAAATTCCATAAAATTGTAAATTTTAAATTCCCATGTTTTTCTTATGGAGAATAAGTCAACTGTTGTTTGCTTGTTTGAGCATATTTTTATCAAATTCGGAGTATGCATTTGTTTCATACACCATTAAACAACTTTAGGGCTTCCTAAGTGCTATTAACATTTAACAAAAAAAAACTTTTTTACTCTCCCTGTTGCAGCAAAACCCAAGTAGGCCTACTCGTTAAACTAATGATATTTAAATAGGGAATAAATGTGATATTTTTATGGAGAAATTTGAGTGTAAATACAATCAGGCAAATGGAAATTCGCTTAGTCTGCAGGTTTGCTGCTGAGGGTTTTTTTTTTATTTAGTTATACTCGCAAAGAAAGTAGTGATGAGTGAGTTTAGTTACCTTAGTCTTACTCGGTCCATATCAGCCAAAAGATCTCAACAGAATAAAACATGCCGATGGTTACCGCTAAAAAAAATAAGATCATACTCACAAACAATGCCGTAGGTGCCTTCACCAATCCTGTTCAATTTCTCAAATTCCGACACAAACCTACATCGACCAAACTGCAAAAGAAAAATATGTATTATGTATATACATGTATATTATGTAGGCTATATGCACAGAAGCAATCCTTGGGTAACTTTAAAATAATATACACAAAATTAATAGAACATATTTGAAATGTTTTACCATTTTCACAATTTCTTTCATTTTCTAAGGCGAGAGATTTAAGGAACTTCTGCAGGATCTGAGGATATCTGCAATACTGCAGTATTTAACATTGTACTGCTGAAGAATGAGCCTTATATTCCTATGTAAATTGTTTTTTGTTCAGCAACACATTTAGTAAAAAGGATCAACACTATTGTCTTCTGTTAACCCTTTTGATGTACTCCTTAAATTTTATCAGAAAACAGTTAAAAAATAGCCAAGAAGTAACTCTAAGTTAACTTGATAACTTGGAGAATTGTAGTGCATTACACATACCAGCTTATCTAGATTTAAGGAGTTAACTTATATATGAGGAGATAGGCAGGTAGCTTATAGTTAAAACATAGGAATTTTATTAAAACTGTGATGTTAGGCTACTACCTAGCCTACTTGAATGTACCCTATGTTTAAAGGTCCAATCTAGCTGTTGTATGTTACAGAGATATAAGTTTTTTAACAAACTCCCTTGTACAGCTCGGAACCTGCCGGAAGCAAAATTCAAAAAGGGGATAGAATCTCTTCTGTTGGCAAATTCAATTTACTCATTCAAAGAGTTTTTTTGAAATTTCACCTGGCCAAGTAGGGTAAGTAAGTTTTTTTTTGTCAATGAGTGCCAAGTGTGATGATTATTAATAAGTTTTGTTTTTGTTTTTCACTTCTCTGCATGGTGTGTTGCAGGCTTAGGCTAAGATTTTGATGTATTGACGTTTCCTTCTACATATTGATGCTTTCAGGAAATAAATTATTTTCATGCTTTGTAAATTGAATAGAATCTAAAGTGCATACAATTTAGGCCTACAACTTAACACACCGTAAAAGAAATACATTTTACACTATAGAAGTGCCAGGGAAAAGGTCCTTGAAATTTTTTAACAAAGTTACTTACCAAATCTTGTTCAGGAATAGCCATCTTCTTGCCATTCACAAAAGATGTTAAAATACCCTTGTTTTGAATTGGGGCACTGGGGTCTGGATTGGCTTCAATACAAATTTTACTGTCACTCTCTTTCTCCTTTTCTTCTTTGGGAGGGAGCACTCTTTTAGGGACAGGTGGTACTGTAACAAAACATCAGTGCAGACAAAAGAAAGAGAAATACAAGTAGAGCTTAGTCTTGATGTCTGACTGAATGGTAAGGCAAAGCACATTTACTGCCATCTCTGTTTAAAGAGATCTGGTCTGATCTGTATTGTTTGAAATAAACACTACCGGTACTTGTCATTGGTCTATCCTGTGTTTAGAGCTGTGTATTACAGGTGGTCTTCTCTTTAAAAGTGATAAACATGTTTGGCAAAGTCCCAATCAAACTTTTATCTCCATCTCTATCTTAATATCAAACCAAAACTGCCACTTCCACCTTGGTACCAGCATTTAGTAACAGAAAAAATGTAGCAACATAGTAACATGCACGGTCTAAAATGTATTTTTTTTACTTTTGAATTTCACTTCCGACGTTAAGGATTGTAGATTGGCTGGTAATTTGTTAGGCCTTTAAACAGTTTTGGCCCGAGATTTTGAGGTATAGACATCCCAGAAACAAAAGAACCCTGGGCCATTTCGAGCCGCGCAGGTTTGAAGGGTACTAAGAAATTAGTTTTTCTTTTTTTGTCTTAAAAAGCTTAATAGTTGTAATTATGGTACAAAAGTTCACAATTTCAAGTATAATATTACCTGATCAATGTAAGGTTAAAGTTGAACTATGCTAAAACCTGGTTCCATTACCATAATTTGTAATACCGTATACTAAAAGACGACACTGACTCTTTTACCGATTACTAAAAAATTTATTGTTTTAGTCTAGGCATATGTTCCTCATTAATCGGTCCTAGGAATACTTATGAAATATTGATTGGATTTGATTCTATAACAAATTATAGTAAGTTACCTAAACATGTTATGCTATTATTATCACCTATTGCTATTTAATCATAGGGTTGGGTAGGGTTAGGTCAATTTATTCAAATTTTTTTTATTAAGACTCTGTGATTACAAATATTTTATCATATAACTTAGTATTCCATGATTATCAAATAGAGTTCCTAATTTAATTAATACAACAGAAAATACCCTACTAATAAATAGTTTTGCCAGTTTACTAACAGATGTTCTGAATATTTTAAGTGGGAAAAATATGCACTAAGAAACTGTACCCCTTAAAAGTTACTGGTAGCCTTTAAGTTAGATCGTCCTGGCAGCACGCTGTCCTGATTTGTGCAATTCTTCAAAATACAGTTTAAATCTTAACTGGGCTTCCCTAACTTAATATAGATCGAAAATATCAATTACTAATCGATATTTGTACGACAGTCCTATCAATTACAAAATGAAACTGTTATAACGTATCCTAATCCACAACCAAACTTACTGATTATGAAAAAATCGAATGAAGGTTTACTAACTTAAATTGAATCGGGTACTGTCCCGCAAAGAACCTGCGATATATTATCGGATGAATAAAAATAAATATTGTTGTTTATCTGATTCAATATAGGTCTATCGTTTATAAAATAAGTTATTGTTTATCGTTTTCCCAATGTAAACACCAAATTCATTTATGATTTGTTTACATTTATTAACTTATTTGTATTAAAAAAATAAACAAACAATATCCAACCAACAACTGTTTTTAATTTTAAATAACTTACTGTTGATATCGTAACCACATAGAAAAGGAAAATTCGTGGCTCCTTCCACTTTTAAGTTGGGTAGGCTATTCCTAAGAAAACATCAGGGTAAAATAAAAATAAAAACGATTTGGTAATGTTTTGTTATTTTTTAAATTTAATATCATATGGTATCAAAGGGTCAATGCAATATAAATATCAAATTAAATAAATATCGATAAGATTATAACGATTGGCATAACTTAAGCCTAAGAAACTACCGATTGGGTTATTATTCACTTTCCCCAACTCAACTATAAGACGATCACCCAAGTGTCCTATAAGACTTTTTAAACTGTTCCTAGACACCAATACTACAACTTTTTCAAATGACTTTTTTGTCATTGAGATTTCCTGTAGAAACCACGCCTGTACTAGACACCCAACATGAACAACTGGCTTAATCATAAGTACCACTACTACCCCGTGGTTTACTATACTAGATACCTCATCAAGATTAAAACACCACACACAGATAATTAGACACCATTACCAATATTACTAGACACCACTCCCAGATTCCTAGACACCATACCTAGATTACTAGACACCATGTCCAGATTATGGTTAGGTTAGGTTAGGCTAATCTAGGTAATGGTGTCTAGTAATGGTAGGCTATGGTTTCTAGTAATCTGGGGCGTGGTGTAGTAATATCAGTGAGGTGTCTAGAACTTATAGGAAACTGCCCTGTCACGATGTTTAAGCGAGTTTTTCAGGCGTCCCGTCTAGTAATCTAGGCGTGGTGTCTACAGGAAGCCTCAGCGACAAAAGTCATATAAGTTAGGAAAGTTGATGCGTTGGTGTCTAGGAACTCAGTTTAACACGTCTTATAGAACGTTTTAGGTGAGTTGGGGAAAGTGGATTTAACAGACATTGAAAAGAGTGCCAAGATTACTAAAATACATTAATATGATGGATATGGGGTTTTAGAATATTACTGAATTAAGGCCCCTATGGACATGGTGTGGTGTGCCTATAGCAAAACTCAACTGCCCAGTCTATAAAATTAAAATAAGCAACAAATCCAATAAGTTAACTCCTAGAATGGTTGTAGCCATCACTCAAGGATAGTAGTTATCAGTTAACCCTCCGAGTGTCATGCGTCGCTGCAGCGACGCGTAACGCACTTTGTATAGTGTCGTGCGTCGCTGCAGCGACTCGCGAACACTGTTTACGGCGAAGGCTCTATGACTAACTGAATCGGACTGTACTGGATTGAGTTAGGTATCGTTCTGTCCGTAATATTCTAAGCTTTCTGCAGAGGTCTGTCTCTAAGCACTATTCATTTTAGTTCCGAAAATATTGTAGCAGACAGCTGACTGAGCTGACGTGCGTGTATTTGTAAACAGCTAGGTTACCCTCGGACCGATGACTGATGTGTTTTATTACGTTTATCATTGTTTTAGTGTTAAAAATCAAAAGTAGTGATATACGTGGTGCATTATAAGAAGATTTAAGTGGTTTTGAAGTGCTGGTTGATGATCCTGAAGAAGTAGGTAGTGATATTGATGTAAATTATCAGCCAGATTCCTAGCTATGGTTGGGCTATGCATTCTTAGCTAAACGCTATGTACTGAAATCTGTTTTTTGCCCATAACTTTTTTATTTGCAAATCTACTTCCTTATATTATTATAGATTTGTAATCCTCATAAAATTTAGAACAAAGTGGCTATTTTCAAATATTTATAGGCCTATAATTTATACAATTTCATTGAGCGCAAACTTATTTTTTTTTTTAAATTTTCGAAATTATACATTTTTTTACCTAAAAATTTTTTTTTTTTTTTAAATCTTCCTTATGTTTTATATATAATATTGAAGCCCAAGATTTTCCAAACAAAATGGTATATAGAACAGTATAATTAACATTGTTTTTAAGCTTCTCAGATCAGTTTTAATAAAACCTTGCAAATGAGCAAAAAATAGGCTGACATTAAGGCCAAAACACGTGACACTCGGAGGGTTAAGTTAGTGCTAGGTCTTGCTTTGGGTAGACTTCCGTATCTGTTGGCATAAACAACTCTACCTTTGGCTTTCTACACATTGACCAAAGGGTATATAACACATTTAACATTACTTAGCCTAAATCATGATGTATTATCAAGTTTACCTTCAATTCCTTCCATTTTAATCGTCAATAAATATCTCGTGTCAAAATATAACGCCTTTAGGTTAACAATAAAATTCCGGCGGATGACGCCGACGGACGATATGAGGATAGCAGATCGATAGCATAAAAAAACACAGAATAAACAAAACAAACACGTATAATTTACAAAAAAGTGTGCTTTTGCCTTTACTTTATGCAGCTGCGGAGTTTGTTGAGCTGAAACTTACTTTTATTTGCAGCTACAAAAATAAACAGAAAAATATTAATAACATACTAATTAGTAGCACGTTAGTAGTCGATGACAAAATGTATCTCGAAACTAAAAAATTACAATTTTGTACCTTAGTATAGAACCAATAAGTGAGAAAAAATAGGAATACAATTTATTCTTTCCTGTTATTCTTCTGGGGCTGGGGAACGGCCACCGGGCCGCCTTTAACTCTAGGCCGTGGCCTTCGAAGTGGCAACGTCGAAAGTCAATACCTCAATACCTCCTTCTTCGTCTTTTACCCACAATGTGGGATTGACAGCGTCACTTTAAACACGATTACTAATACAAAAAAAACAATATTTACAACTATTTACATACTTCCGGCAGGCTACAGGCTTCTTAAATCATCCCCTAAATACTCTGAAATATCGTAATAGGCCCGGCTCTTGATGAAAGTGGTTAGCACTGCCTCAAATGTTCTCAAGTCCAACAACTGGATATGTCGTGGCAGCTTATTGAACAGACTTATGGCTGACACACTATAACTAGCCTGGGTCCTAGATAGTCGCACCCTTGGTACATCAAGCTGATGGCGCTGCCTGGTGTTATACTGGTGGACGTCAACACGAGTGGTGAAGGTTGTTATATTAGCCCTAACGTGCACCAGACAGAGAAGTATGTAGTGGCCAACTACAGTAAGCACACCAAGTCGTGCAAAGAGGGGTTTGCAATGAGCACGATACTCACTCCCAGTGATAATCCTTAATGCACGCTTCTGGAGCCTAAGCACTTCAACAACCTTTGGCGAGTGTCCCCAGAGAAGAAGTCCATAGCTGACATGGCAGTGAAAGAGGGCATGGTACACCATCACCAAATATGCCTCCGTTACACAAAATTTCAGCTTGAAGAGGAGGAAACAGATCCGTGAGAGTCTGTTGGTGGTCTGGTCAATGTGGTGTTTCCAGCTGAACTTCCCATCAAGAACAAATCCAAGCAATTTAACTGGATCTTGAACACCAGGCTGGTCTCTGGAGAGGCTGCAGATGATGTGCTGCGTCTTATCCTCATTTAGATGGAAGCGGTTTGCCAGAAACCAGGCAGTTGTATCTTCAAGACGCTGTCTGGAGATGGCCAAAGCTTGATCGATGTTCGTACCAGCTGACAGGAGAGAAGTGTCGTCTGCAAACATGAGGGTAGTGCCAAGGTTGTCAAGATCGTTGATCATGATGAGAAAAAGGGTAGGCCCAAGCACTGAACCCTGGGGGACACCAAAATCAACTGGCAAAGAGCCGGAGACAGCTCCACCAACTGCAACGACCTGCGAGCGCCGTTTGAGGTAAGTACTCAGGATGGCAAGAGCGGCATCCCTGATCCCATAGAAGTGGAGTTTTCTTTTCAAAATAGAGTGGGAGACACAATCAAATGCTCTACTGATATCACAGAGAGTCAGAGAGAGAGCTTGGTGGTTTTCAAATGCATTTTCCACGCTTGCAGCAACTTTTGCAACAGCATCAACGATTGACCTGCCCTTACGGAAGCCAAACTGCATATTCGAGAAGAGGTCAAGTCCCTCAAAAAATGCTTCAAGCTGGGGTTTTATGGTAACTTCTACCACCTTTCCGAAGAAGGTGGTAGAAGGCTAGTTAGTCGTGTTGTAACAGCTGTTTTGTTTAGAAGCACTAAGCAGCAAGCAGCTAATGGTATTTGTGTATTTACGAAAGATTGGTTACTGTACGAAAGCTTGGTTACTGGGCTATGACAATATTGACTCCGCTTTAAATGTACAGATATACATTTTCAATTCATATTGTTTTGGTTTTCAATTCTGTTTGTTTTATTTTCAATATTTAAATACATTTATGTTCATAAATTATAATTTTAATCAATAAAGCGTGAAATAATGAGCTACTGATGTCCCCTGTCTGCCATGTTATCTTATGGCTGACACTAAACAACCCTACTTGCGACGTTGCCAATTCTATCAGGCCGCGGCCTGAAGTTAAAGGGGGCCGTGAATATACTCAAGGTAATAGTATTTATGTTAGCTAATAAAATATAAAATTTTTCGGGTGATATATCCCACCCCTGGGACCACACATGAGGGAGGTGGTTTTGTGCTTTAGAGCTTCCTCGTTCCAAAATTCATAACATGAAAAATGTAGAAAATAATACCTGACATGTTCGACATATCGAATAAAAAGCATAATTTTCGAAAACGCTAGTACAGTGAAAGGGAAACACTTCACTGTTCACGACACTGACACATAAAGGGGGGAGGCAGGCAGTAGGCAGAGTCCCGACCCGAGTCACGAATGGCGAAGGGAGGGATGGGGAACTATTTATCAGGAACGGCTCCATCCAATCTGTTCCACTGAGTGACACTTAAATAAATGCAAAATTTAACAGTTGCAGTTAAAAAAAATTGTTTTTATTACTGCGGCGAGATGGTCGTGTCGAGCAAGGGTCGCGTTCCGGACAGGCTCACAGGAGCCATCCGTGACGTCATTTTGATGGTCCATAGATATATGACGTTATACTTATAAAATTAAGAAAATTTTTAAAATTAGTTTTATAATTTCTTTATTATAAAATTAACTGTCATAGCCTAACATATCTAACCAAACTTGCTGATGATGAAAAAAATCGAATGGAGGTTTACCAATCGAAAAAATAGTTCTGTTCATAATCATAAATGCCTCAAATTCTAACAAAAGATGTACAATTAAGAAGTAACATAGATAAAACATACGTGTTGGTTAGTCTATGGAAGTAATCGCATTCTAAACAAAATATTTGACAAAAAGTTCGTGTTACCGGTGGGATTCGATCTGGATATTTCTTGGGACATCAACCGAGTACTCATCACTCTATCCACACCACCGATGCCTTCACTTCGCATCGTTGCAGTAAAGGTATTCCTAAGGCCGTAGCCAGGACAAACTTTCGGGGGGGGGGGGGGTGTCTGGTCATTGGCGGTTATATCAAGGGGGGTTTGAAAGAAAGAAAGGGGGTCTGGGGGTCCTCCCCTGCGAAAAATATGGAATTTCAAAGCCGTTTGGTGACTTTCTAAAGTCATTTTTAACATCTAAAACTGTGCCCCATTTGTATACAGACTCCCATTTCCCCTTTTATTTGTCATGAACAAGTATACATTTTTAAAACTAAACTATGACGATTGCATTCATAAATTTCATAGCATACTGTAGGCTACGGTAATAATTTGTACTACCTACTTAATTTCGGGGGGGGGGGTTGACCCCCTAACCCCCCTGGCTACAGCCTTGGGTCATGGTGGAAGGATGGCCTTGGGTATTCCATTCCCTCAAGAGAAGAAATGTCTGTAGACGTCACTCCATTACTGCCAATAGAATTGTGCGTCATGGAGCGTCGGAGCGTCCCGTGAGCCTTGCAAGAACTGGAGAGTTGCCCGTTATGGCCACTCCACTGGACTAGTATTGTGAATTATTGTGATTGTGTGGGAGGCCACTTCTTCACATGTACAGAAACCTTATAATGACGTCACATGACTATCGACTACTTTTCAGCTATCGGAGTCGTGATGGTTTATGCAATCGATTATCGAAGGCCGAAGGGACACGGCTTTACATCGTCACTTATTCACTTTCACTTTGTTATTTGTTTGTTCTTGTTGTGCCCGGTGACCATGTTATAGACTCGTTCTGATTGTTTTCAATAAACCTACTACTTTTTAAATGGAGCCAGAAAAGTACAAGTGGGCTAAAAGCTATGATGAATTTTTAGATGTTTTAAGAGAACATGAAATTTCTACCACATCCAAGTTTGTAATTATTTGTGCTCCAAGTAAATTTAATTCAGAGAAAGGTAAGTGAACTTTTTACCTTATTAGATTTGTAAGTCAGGATTGAGCCGATAAAATGTATCTGCTTCAATTATGTTATAACTTAAAAGGAAAGAATATATATTTCGTATTCATGCCAAATTTTAAAAGATGAGAAAGAAGCCTAACTTGCATTAAGATCGTAATGAAAAAGGTCCAATAATGGTTAAAAAAAGGATAGACGCCAGCCATGTTGATAATTCATTACATTGTGTAGGCCCCTCATGCACAGTATGTACTAAAACAAATAAATAGGAACTTTGTATTCAAAAAGCTTTGATGTTGGATACGAATCTGCTAGCCTAGGAAATTGTGTGGGAAACTTAAGTTGGATTTAAAAAAAGTAAAAAGTTAGAAGTAGGTAAGGTGTTTAGCCAGGGAATTCAGTTTTTTGGGGATCAAAAGTAGATTTTTACTAATAATCCCAAAGTTGGTCTTTGAATGTCTCTTTCTTTAACCTTCTCACTTTTTCATGCTGAGCCAGTATAGGCTATACAAGTATTTTTCATGTAGGAACATAATTTCACCGAAAAAGTGCCAATATAACAGGGAGATAGGGGAAACCCCATGAAAAATTAGGCACGATGCAACCCTATCTTCCTAAAATCCCAATAGGCCTAGGCTACGATATTTGAGAGAGCAAATCCGGAGTCTCTCCGATAACAAAGTAAGAGCAATAAACAGTATTGGGAGGCCTGGATAGAGAATCATTCTCTGCATAGGCCTTTACGTTAACACATTGCGTGCGGGTCGGTCGCCGGCGACCGGTTCCTTATCATTGAGATAAGTGCAATTTTCAAGAGTAAACATGACGGCTGCATTGAAAGAGTTAAATTGTCAGCCTAGTTGTTTTTGTTAGAATTTGGCCCTGAGTAGGTTATATTTTAATAAATTACTAAAGTTACAAAAATATTAATTTTGAGTAGGCCTAGGCCTATTATAGTTTTTCTTATTTTTTTTTATGGAAATCAACGCTTTTATAGTGAAATAATGGTCCTATGTGAAATGTAGGCTTAATACTTACTGTAAAACTATAAAGGTGAAAAAAGAACCACATTTAAAGATCAACTCTTCCAATCATTACTTTTTTTCCCTATAAATTAACTTGCCTGCAACAACGTTTCCTGTTATGTAACACAATTAGGGACCAGTCCCTAAAAAAAGTTGCTCTATGTTTCTCGTGTAGAAAAAATTACTTGAAAGGACTTGAAGAAGTGAATGGGTTTAATTCCTCTAAACTTAAGGTCTGGCATTTCTTTGCAACCAATGGTAGGCACAGATTAGTTAGGCTTACTGAAATTGCTCTTTGTTTTTAATGCAGGAAAAATTCAAAGCTAGCATTGATTTTGTATAGTAGCTCAACCATACGTTTAAAATTATTGATGCTAAGTACAACTCGTATCAACTTTATTTACAAATAACTTTCGAAGTACAGCTCTGTTAAAAGTTGATGATTAAAATTAAAATGAGTGTTAATGAAATACTCAGTAGGCCTACATTTTTCTAAGTGCCCTAATATACATAAATACTTCCTTGAATATATAACTTAATTTGAATTTGGTTAAATAGAAACAATTTTAAACTAATAAAAGGTTAAATGTTAATGGAATTGTAGCCGGTCAATTCAAAAACACTAATTAGCCTCAGATGAGGTGGTCTTTGTAGTAGGGTTTGCCGAACATATTAGCCAATTTAGACTTTTTCCTAGGCAGGTTATTAATCTGGCTGTGAACCTATGTGATTTAGATCTGTGGCTTTTTAAAATTAATTAAATGTATTCTGAACTGTATGTGGGTAACTGCATGCTTCAGCATGAGCCTATCATATTTTTCTACCAAATTATATGAGAAGTAAAAGATACTTTATTCAGCCAATAAATAACATAAACAGCATCCAGCCTATATTATATTGTATGAATTTTGATAGCAGTATAGTTTTAAATACAAATTTAAAAAAAAACTAAAACAAACAGTCATGGGTTGAAATTGTTATTTCTGGTTCCACCATAAAATTTCCAACAATTATAACCTTAGTATTGCATTATAATCAACTCCTGGCAAAATTTATTTTTGAACAGAAACTTGCATATAAAATTGTATGTCAATGTTAGGTGTCAATAGAGACCATAGGAAGTGAAAAGAGTTGAATGGTCTTGTGAAGGAAAATGTTGATTTAATTTGTTATTTTTTGTTTCAGTTAGTCCTGTCAAGAATCAAAGAGTTTATTGGCAAGATGATATACCTTATTTGTACTTTAGTTCACGAACATTCTCTTGCCATCAAGGGAAAGACTTGAATGTAGTCAATAAAAAGAAGTATGCCAAGAAAAGAGATAGCAAGGTGGGTCTGATTTGTACAACGTAGGCCTATTAACGTACTTTTGCTTTTTAAGTACTACCAATTATACTTTCAATATGATGGATCACAATCGCAATTAACCCTCCGAGTGTCATGCGTCGCTGCAGCGACTCACGAACACTGTTTACGGCGAAGGCTCTATGACTGACAAAATCGGATAGAACTGGATCGAGTTTGGTATCGTTCTTTTCATTATATTCTAAGCTTTCTCCAGAGGTCTGTCTCTAAGCGCTTTATGTTCTCCGAGCCTATCGTAATTGTAGCAGACAGCTGACGTGCGTATTTGTAAACAGGTTAGTTAACCTCGGACCGATAACTGATGTGTTTTATTATGTTTATCATTGTTTTAGTGTTAAAAATCAAAAGTAGTGATATACGTGGTGCATTATAAGAAGATTTAAGTGATTTTGAATCACGTCATTTTTACATTTTTACAATCAAGATGCTGTACAGCAGTAATATGTATGACAAGCTATTTTTTACAGGTCTGAAAACTATTTACTATTAAAACTTGTAAAAATATGTTTTATCTTTAGATTGTAGTATATTTGAGCAAGAAATACAATGATAGAATATTGTAAAATGTTATTAATATCTTTTAAAGAATTAATTATAAAATAATTTATATTTTAATTAGTTTAAATTAGAGTTTTTTTGTTTGTTTTAGGCTCTAACAGACCATTGTTTTACTAAGAGATACCATCAAGCTCAAACAACAAAGAAGCTAGACTGTCCTGCTCAAATTATTGTCAAGAGAGTCATCAGGATACCAGAACTAAAAGTAAGTGGAGTAGTGGAAATATTTTTAACTTTGTGATTCTTAATCAAATTTTTAATTCACTTAACAAATTAAAATTTTTACAAGAAGAATCACAATTAAATATTTGTTAATGTTATCTGGAAGATTAGTGAGTAATATTTAATGTGGAAATATATTGCGGGCTAGTAATTATTAATTTAAATACTCCTTTACCATGTATCTTTATTTAAAATAGCATAATACATTTATTCGGTAAAGATTCACATTAACTAACCTACCGTGGTTGTAACAAAATGTGATCTATAAATTTTAATTCTGCTTCAATTATAAACTAATAACTTAGAACATAATAATAACATGATAGAACTGTTACATTGATTGTGTATTAAATCAGTCAAGTTCTCAATTAACACACACAAAATGCAATTGCATCACAAAATGCATATGCCTATATCACTTATATATGAACACAAATTTACAGGATGAGTTTTATATTTTCCGCCCTCTTTAATGTTTTCTTTATATCTTTAGATATACTGAACCACAGTTGATCATTGTTGAATAGTATGTTGATAATTTTTATTATGTTAACAATTACATCAATAAAATGATCGACCATTTCCGATCTAGCTCAATAATACTGTACTTTACAGTAATTTACCAACACCTTAGTCGGCACCTTACTGTACCAGAATTGGTTAATATTGGTTAACAGCTTGTTGCTCTTCCTTGGCAAATTATTTTTTATCGTTGTTACCAATAGTTTATTCTCCTTAAAGCTAGTAAACAAATCAAATTGAAGAAAGCCATTTTCTCTATGTGCAGCTATGATTGCCTCGACCTGTTGCCTCGCAAAACTTGCTGATTTCGTTCACAGTCATTCATCGCTTAAATTCCATTCAGTCAATAAAAGAGGCTTCTTATTTTATAACCTGCAGTATTTGGTACACAATTAATAAACTGGGTTGTTGGGTTTTTCATACAATTGATACTCCATTTGGAAGATTGTTACTTACTTTGGCCTGAGGCAAATCACTTAACAGCTCTGCATACCCAGCTTGTAAACCTAATGTTTTTTAAGTTTCAGAAAATATTTGACATCAAGCATTATACAAGATATCATGTGCGCTGACTGTTAGGCTTTTTCTTAACTGTTGTTTTCTCTCTGTTTCAGCTGTCTAAGTCGCTGAAAGAAAAATATGAAAAAGAGAAAATATCACAAATAATAAAGAGGAAAATATCAGACTCTGAAGAATTTGGTGAAGAGTGCTACCTTTTCAACTTGCCAAGTATGGAAACACATGCCAACCATCTGATTGGAGTAGAAGCATCCATTACTGAACCAGTAGACTCAAGAGTGAGGACCTATATTTCTCAGCTTGTAAATAGAGGAGAAAGAAATCCTTCCGTAATATTAAGATTGGTGGAGTTTTATGCTACCAATGAACTCCAAGAAACAGATAAAATGAGAAGAAGGTTTTATCCATCGCTGTCAACAGTTCGACAGATTATATCTGCTGCAAAAATCAAGGCCTCAAAAAGCCCTATTGACCAAGAAAATGTTGAAATCATGATCAGCAAATTAGATGGGTCTAAGAATAGCATTTTTTTTAGACCTTCTTCAGTGAGAGAAGATGAAGAGGAAGAAGGAAGTTCTTTAAGCTCTAGTTTATTATTCGTCTACCAAAGCAGTGTCATGAAACGTTTATATGAAAAGTATGGTAAGAACACCATTATGCTTGATGCTACATATCGCACATGCAAGTACGCACTGCCATTGTACTTTATTGTTGTGGAAACAAACGTTAATTTTCAAGTAGTTGGGGTTATAATAACTCAGTATGAAACAAAAGAAGCTATTACTGAAGGATTGAATGTTTTCAAAGATTGGAATCCTGAAGTACATCCCAAGTATGCTATGGTGGATTACGCCTATGAAGAAATTTCAAGTTTAGAGACTGTGTTTCCTGATATTTCTGTTTTTATTTGCAGTTTCCACAGGGAGCAAGCGTGGCATCGTTGGTTTTCTAGAGCTGGTAACTCAGCTATTCCAAAAAAAGAAGCCTTATCTCTTCTGAGAAAAATTGCATTTTCTGGTCCTGGACAAGAATTGCAATCAGCAATAACACAGTTGCAGTCATGGGAACATTATTCCACTAGTACATTAAAATGCTATTTTGAAGGAACTTGGCTGAAAGAGATACCAAGGTGGGCTACAGCCTTTAAGCCTCTAGACATGCATTTGAATACAAATAATGGAGTGGAACGAATGAACAAGGAGTTGAAGTACAACTACTTAGAGGGGTTCAAAGGAGTTCGCTCTCTGAAATAATCAGTATCATTATTAATGATTTCCTCCCAGAAAGGTACAGAGTATATGTCTGGAAAAACCTGCAAATGAATAAACAATACAGAAAGTATGATGATGCCATCCCCAGGTATCTACAAGGAAGACCAAAATGGTTTATTGACCATATTATGTCAAAGTTGTCAGCCCTACCTGCAGAATCTGTCATTATCAAAATCAATGACAGTGATTTTTTAGTTGAATCCTCTTCTGACAAGGGAAAATTCTACAAAGTCAGTTTTGACCGAACTATGAAATGTTGTAGCTGCACATGTTATGATTTTAGTAAAGAGAGAATGATATGTAAACATGTGATACATATTGGCAGCAAATTTCCATGTTGGGATTTGGAAGAAATTCACTCTTGGCTCTTATCAGATCCTATTTTCAATTTTGATGAAGGCTTAAGAGCAACAGATGAAGGGCAACTGGCAAACTCTTCTCATTCTGTTGGTAATCTTGTTGATGTTGAAACAACAAGAAACAATTGCAACGATGATAGCTGCTTTCAAAACAGAACAGAGAGCTTAGGTCACTCTTCAGTATTTTGTGATTTGAAGCTAAGGGGTAGTGAGAAGAAATTGAAATTGAATTCCATCAATTCCTCAATCAGAACGATTCAAAGTATTGCTTGGTATCTGGAGGCAAGCAATTTGTCTAGTTTGGATGATAAAATGAAGGAAGTTGTAAAGGAGTTGAAAACTCAAGTTCCCACAGATGTGAATTCTGGACTTCCAGTAGAAACAAATGTAAGTGATATCCATCGTACTTCTGTCAAGAGGAAGAAAACGGACTATTGTAAACTACCGTTGCATTTAAAAAAGAGAGCATTTACTGGCAGAGTTGGTGTCTTTGCTGATATGATGAAGGACAGTAACAAAATAAGCATTACATTGTGAGTAAGCAGAATCAGTTGTAATAATTTAACTTACCACTTCTTGGTTATTTGTTTGTTGCTGCTGTTTTTACTATGTATGTAATTTTTTTTATTTAGGAAATGTTGATTTTATATTGATTTCAAAACGTCAATTTTGTATGCTGGTTTAAACTTTTAGTCCCTTTCTAAAATTGTCTATGTAATTCAGTTATCTTATAACAATAACTTACTTCACATGTTTTTAAATAGATGTCTGAGAGTGTATTATTTCAATACTTCTATGTATATAAATGTATTTCACAGCAGTTGATATCAGTTAGTGTTCAAAATAAAGAGTGATTATTGAAGTATTTTGAGTATTTTTATTTATCGTGTATTTCATCTCTAAAGCAGGTATACATTTTTCAGAAAATTCCATCAATAAAGAAAAAATAATTCACCATTTTACTTAAAGTTGTTCTTACCAAATTGGAATAAAATTTCAAAATCTCAGTATGTCGTAACTAAGTTTTTTTTAGCTGTGCTAGAAACCCATTGAAACAGGTGATTTATTATCTCATGCAACTCAAGTCAAATTTTTCCTGGAAGGTTTGTTACAGTTAAATTTGTTTGATTTTTTTATTACGAGCAATTTTGAGTAGATATAGTCATATATCTTTACTAACATAATCTTTGGCAACAGTGATGAGTCAATTAAAATAGAATAATATAAAAAAGATTCATAAATTAAAAATAATGATGTAAAGGTAAGTTGAAATCTTATTTAGATCAGATGTTTTCATGTAATTAACACAATGGAGAACAAAGTTTCTTACTAAATAAACATGAAGACCCTTGCCCAACATATTAACTGGACAAATCCACAGTAGATGTGTTAATTTTTTTTTTTTTTTTTGTAGTTTTAAAACTAAATGCAACCCTTTGATAACTAATTGCAACTAGTAATAGTAAATCAAATATATAAATTAATACACTCGATATATAACTCGTTAATTCAAGATTTCTTTTTTTAAGATTCTTAAACTTGCATTGGTTGATATTTTATAATCGACGTTTCCCCAGATCGTAAAAAGATTTAATAATTTTAAGTATCTAATTAGTTAAATCTAAACTACGTTTAGTATTTTATAATATTTGTAAGTTAATGTATAAAAAAGCATTAATTGAGTTAGTTTAGGTAACGTTATAGTGTATTGTTATGCTTTTGTTCAGTTATCTACAATTGAACATTTTTATCCTGAATATTTAAATATTTAGACCCTATTATATAAAATTCATTCAAATTTCAATTGTTTTTTCAAATTTTCAAAACTCAAACTTTAAAAACATTTTTAAATTGAACTGATCAATTTATGCACTCTAATCTAATCAAAGTTTATTTCCACCAAAATACAAAAATAACAAATAATGCAAGAAAGCAATTATATATGAAGCATAATATATATATAAATAAAAGTAATTGAGTAATGTTACATATGAAAGGACTTATGGTATATAACTAATACCCCCGCCGCAGCAAACCTGCCGTCTAAGCGAATTTCCATTTGGCTGAATTTATTTTCAATTGATCTATTTAAATAACATTAGGTTTAACGAGTACCTAGGTTTGCTGCTACAAGGAAACTAATAAAGTGTGTGTTTTAAGTAAAATAATTATTGCTTAGTATAAAATGAATATATTTGCCAAGTTTGATCAAAAGATATCCATAAACAAGCAAACTACAACATTTTACAATATTCTCCATAAGAATAACATGGGAATTTTAAATTTACCATTTTTTTAGTTTTCTCCGTAAGCAATAACCGTACAAAAACACTTTGATATACTGAATTGTTTGTTTTTTTAAGCTATTTAAGAAGGTTTAGAGAAAAATTGGGAAATTTTGTGTTTTGAGGGTCAAAAGTGAGAAAAACCAATTTTTACCCCATAAAACCCCCCATAAAACCCTGTTCCCATGGTCCGATCATGCTGGATCGCGAACTCATTCAAGTTTACCCCGCCTTACACCTTCAAACCAAATTTCATCAAAATCGGATAAAAATTACTCAAGTTATCGTGTTCACGGACACATATATATATATATATATATATATATATATATATACATATATAAAAATTTGAACGAATGGTGTTTTTGGCCTCTGGGGACATCAAAAGAAAAAAGTAAATCGGTCCCGGGCCTAAGTCTTACCATGAGACCTACGGTAATAGCTACTTCCCTATAGGGAAATTCGCTAAAATGAGAAAAATTTGATTTATTACATTGAATTCATGTAACATAATTAATAAAAAAAAATTAAAATGGTTCCTTAACGTAAAAATAAATTTGATGGGAAACGAGACTATATGGGCACTAGTGGCCTGTGCGTAGGCTCGAGTTGAATAATATAGAATGTGGTACGATCAAAAAGTAATAAACTATCCTACAAATTAATCGGATTACTACTACTTAATGTTTCCTTATTTATATTATGTCCCAGTACTTTCATTTATAAATAACAAGATAAGGCTTAGTAAGTATAACGTTATTGTGAATTAAATGGAGCCAGAATAATATAATTGGGTAAAACTTATGGTGTTTTATTAAGATGTACTAAAGGGGAAAATGAGAAAAAAGCTCTACTTTTTTCTGTAAACCTAAACCATTGATTAATGTACTCACAGTACTTAGTCAATGGTTAAACTGTAGGGCCTATTTTACGTGACTGTAAATTCCATAAAATAATATATCTAAAACAGTCCTCTTGGGCTTCTTTAATTGTCACCTTACACTGATGGGCAATATCTGTTAGTAAATCATTCCCAAACATTAACATAACGTTAACATGTCAAAGTTACAATTATTATTTCACTCTCTTCTAGAATCGATAATAATTCCTGTAATTCGTCTACTTTAATTACAGTTATTGTATTATTGTGGATGCTATGAAATAAATTCTTAGTATTCAACGTCCTGTGAACTCAAGTTTTTATTTTATAAGTCAGGTAAATACGAAAACAATTGCAAACATCTTGGATGTTCAATCCAAAGTATCAGTAATTATTTTATTCCCAGCCTGTAACGAATATTATTGTATTTCTACTATTTGATTTATAATGGATAAACTACCGAGAGTATTCAATTCGTCAAATAAAGTGTTACAAAAAAAAACCCCTTTACTTATTCGGTGCAACCGATACTTACATTCCGAAGAAAAATCCGTAACCACCCGGTACAATCGATATACACATTCGATATATACATTCGATATTTATGACGTCAGTATAAGGTTTCTGTACATGTGAACCAGTGTTTCCATTTGAGGGATAAAAATCCCTTTCTAGGGATATTTAGGGCCTTCGAGGGATTGAAAAGGGATTGAGGGATAACTAGGGATAATCAGCGAAATTGGAGGATTTTTTAGATTTTCTAGGGATTTCAGGCCTTTGACATTATAAAATTGAAATATTGATAAAATAATACATTATGGCTGTATTTCAACAACGTTAAGGACCTATTTTGGCTAATTTTGCAAGGTATTGATAACACATTGAATTGATTATAGGTACTACTTTTTCCCTAGGTTTTGGTAACAAATTGATTATGCTATCGGTGTAGCATAGATAAAAGATACTCCTCAAGGAGGATGTTTTATCCATGGTTGTAGGTAGTGGTAGTGACGTAGTGTTTCAAAGTCGGAACACACAAGGGGAAGAGTAACAGCCAAGGGTGGGTTCCATAATATCGACAACCGTAGAAATTGATCGAAACTGAATTATTCCCAGTTTGTCGACACTGGAATATTCCCACTTAACCGACATCCCAAATAACCGACGTCGCAAATGATCGACACCACAAATTGTCGATATCCCATTTTGTCGACAATGAAATAGTTTCATTTTGTCGACACTGAAATAGTCCCAGTATATCGACAAGCACCCGTTCTTCGGAGCTACTCTTGAAAAGGAGTTGTTCTAATTCATCGTTCAGTTCCTCAACTCACGAGTCGCAATATTTGATTCCGAATTCCGTCCGACGGACATCTTCAAGCTGGCCATTTACTGACTAAAAACTTTTATATTGTAAATATTTATCTTTTTTATTTCTTTCCTTGTTTACAAGAAAATAGATGACTCGAGTGTTACAAACAATAGTTTTTAAGGAATAATGTGAAATAAGTTAATTTTTATAGGATAAAAAACGTAATCAACATGATTACTTAATAACATTAAGTAGTCCTACCAGGACACTAACTTAGGTAAGTCACTAACAAGAACCTAAGATACAGCTTATTCGTAGGCTAATACTGGACCATCAAGCAATATTGTAGCAAATGTTTGAATAGGCATTATCCCTAGGCTATTAGGATTGTCTCTTTTTCACACTGACCCAGTGTCAACTTTAAGAATTTGTTTAGGCTATGTAAAAATATTTGGCTGCACTTTAGTTTATGTCCTACATTCATTCAAATGAAAGATATTAATACAAGACTATTTAATATTTTGAATATTTCATTCCGTTAGTTAGGTTAAGTTTTACCCTAACATTACCCAAAATTGATATAGGCCTAAGTTTATTGAATGAAATAATCAATATGACTGGGACGGGTGGCGTCGTCCTGTAATCCAGCTAGTAGGAGGTCACGAATTGTGGATATTTATAGGCATGCACTGTGGATGCGATACTCCCTGGTGTGGATTAACGTCCGCACGAGTGAGTACTACGACTATCCGCAGTACTATCCTGATAATTAGACCAATTCGTTTATACCAAGGCAATAATGTGGTTCGGATTCCACAATAAACCGTAGGTCCCTTAGTTGCCATTAGCTGTATGGGCTATTAATTAACAGCTGTGTCTAAGGAATGTCGGCCTTATTCACTAACAAGACTACAAGATCGCGCCACTCATCCTGATCCTACACTCATTTCCATTCATACTTGGCTTAAAATACGGTACCTACTTTGTATGGTCGCCAAGTAATAAGTAAGAAAGTATTAAAGAAATATATTCATTGGAATGAGTGTAGGACGTAAAATTATGTGCTGTCAAATATTCTAGAGCTGTTTGTATTTGGTGTAAGACTAGACTTGGATTATATAATTCATTGCTGATGACATCAATGTTAATTTTATAGATGATCCTGGAGCAAAGGCTGTAATTTGACCTGAACCCAAATTGGTCTCTATTTTAAATATTGTCTTGAACCAATGAGTTAAGAGGACTAACCTTTCTGGACGACATTGCCATCGACATCACTGCAGATGAGAGAGAAAGAGAGACCAGAGTTGTGGACCCTGGAGGCAATTTCCATTTTGCCGTGATAATGTTACTTGGTCTAACCATAACTTAAGTGAGGTGAGTCAACATTCTTTCCCCTTTGTGATACATTCTAGGCTATGTTTGTTAACTAAGTTATTCAATGTTCAAATCGGTACTTTGGTAAGTATTATCCGGAGGCTACAGATAGGCTATACAGCGCTTTGCGGCGGTTATGTTAGGTTGGGTTATCATAAATGGAAAGAACATTTTTATGTCCTAGGCCTACTGTCCATATTTGGGTGGGTTCCATATTATCGACAACCATAAACTTAGAAACTGATCCAAACTGAATCATTTGCATTTAGTGTTGAACAGGGTTTGAACAACTAATTATTTATATGTTTTATGGTAACTTTAGGGAAAATATAATGTATAACACAAGTGCAAACTGCCTTTGCTGCACTCGAGAAACTTTCCACACTCGCCTACGGCTCGTGCGTAAACATTTCTCTTATGTGTAGCAAAGTGCCACTTCGCCCACTAGTTACCTACACAAATAAACTATTATTAATAGTTTTTGGTGGAACATAAGGATAATTAATTATAATCTTTATGCAAATTTATAGTTTTTTTATAAAAATTTAAAACTAGGCCCCTACTTAAAATGTATTTGGATACATCTCGAAACATGTTGTTTGGAAATGTCTTAATTAGGCTAGAGCTTGCATTTTTGCAAATTGGGAAATAACAAATAATTAATGTTTAACACGTTCGCTACCGAGCGACGCACATATGCGTTGGTCCGGTCACTCCTACAGACCAAAAGGAATGATCATGACGTTGCTTACAGACCAAGTGATATAGGAATAACATTGCCAACAGACAAAAAGAGAAATATCGTTTAAATGGACGAATTGACTTCATATTAACCTTAAGTGAATTAGTAAGCAATAAATATTGTTTTTAATTATCGTTTGGAGCAACTTTTAAAACGCTGCATATATGTGTCGGTCAGTTTATTTAATGAAATCTAGATAAAAAGATTACAGTAGAACCTCTTTAATCCGAACCCCTGTAATCCGAACGTCCACTAATCCGAACGCCTCATTGCTGTAGTCTATACACAGAACAGTAGTTTTTTATTAGATACTGTATTTATTGATATACCGTAATTATTTCAATTGTTATGTACAGTACTGTTTATTCCCTATGTTTACTACTGTATTAAATAAACATCGTATTTTACTTTATAAAGCATTTTTCACTTTTCCCTAGCTATTGTTATGTAAAAACAACAATATGTTCTGTAATCCGAACTATTCAATAGTCCGAACTACCCCCGGTCCCAATTAGTTCGGATTAAAGAGGTTCTACTGTACCTACATTTTCGTTTCAATAGACCAGGCGACACACGTTTAAGCGTCGTTGTAAATTTGGTTGTTTCAAGCTTTTACACAAACAAATAAAGAAACTCCACCACTCGCCAAAACTGCAAAGGTTATAACGTTTACATCTGTTCTGAGATGTCGCGGAATGCACGATGTAAACAACAATGTTGCCAACTGTTGTGTGACGTAACCAATCGTCATATCCACAGACCAAGCGACGCACATTTGCGGCAGATATCCCTCTAGACCGATACGATAAAATCAGGGCTTTAAAATAGACCGTTGCTAAGAAATACGCTGATTAATAACATCGAACACAGACGCAAGTGTGCGTCGTTAGTCTATTTCAATGTGATCAGCTGACGCAAATATGCGTCGGTGGTCTATGCGAACGTAAATTCCATATAATTGTGGTAGCGAACAAGTTAAACCAATTTATTTTGTCTAAACCAAATTATTGTTACAAATTCTAATATTTGTACTAACTTGACCCAGATTTGCTCAAACATTTTCCTATTAGCTGTACCTATTTGAATATCGCAAATATAGAAAGGAGTGTACACACTTGTATTATTTGTTGGACTAAAATTATTTGTATAACACTATTTTTTGCAATATTTCTGTACAGAACTGAAGCCTACCAGTAAGTAAAATGGGGGCGTTGTAATTAATATCCTCCGACATTGGAGAATACAGGGGAGAGGTGTCAGAGGAAGAGGAGATCGAGGATGGGGCGAAGTAAAGACTAAGATTGAAGAGAACTAACTAATGGTAAGTTTTGCCATTTACTTAAATTTAATACTTATAAATCCAGGGCCGTGTCCATTGCCCCCAAGCCTATGTCGCATAACCCTCCTGAATTACTAGTATTTAACCAGCATTTTAACTCGAGAGGTGCCCAAAAATTTGCTTTTGTTTTTTAGGAAATGTAGGCTATATTTGTTGACACCATAATTATAATTTTTCTGAATATGTCATAGTTTTTACATTTGGTAAGAACTGAAACAACAATCATTTTAAGACAAATGGAAAAGCCCCTGTCAACAGAAGCAGTTGAAACAAAAAATTCTCATACATCAATAAGGTATTTAGTACAAGCGTGGTTCAATAAGACCTTAGAAAAATATATAATAACACAATTTTTTGTGATAAATTCGATTTATTTTGTTATAATCTCCTTTTATTTAGCTCTATACACTTATCTTAAAGTTTCGCAAAACCTCCTTCAAATGCTGTCCAAATAAATAGCACCCTACAAACATGAAAAGCCTTCAAAAATACTCTTCTGTTTCAGTGATGACCGAATCATTTGACATAAAACGTTGCCCACCAGGCCAATTTGTTATCTTAAGAAATAAAAAAGGTCATTCAGGGCGTTTGACAAACAAAATTATTTGACGGGTTTCTTTGCCACCCTGTCAAGCGAGTGAGTGTTGGAGGGTGGTGGGAATGGTGTCGTCCCATTTGCGAACAGTCCCATTTGCGAACAGTCCCGTTTGCAAACAAATTTTTGGCTGTGGGGTGAGGTACCTGGGAAGGAGTCCCGTTTGCGAACAAGTTTCGTTCTACCCTCAGTCAGGTAGTCTCCCGCACGTTAATTGTTGTCTTTCTGCTTGTAGAATACAAAGCTAATATTCAAAGACATTTGAGAATATCTGCTTTTTAGGCCTACTTTTGAATATTGATTGTATAAATATTGGTTATTTCATCGGCAGTTAACAAGTACAATGAATCAATACGAGCAGGGACTATTCTTTTGATTAGATTCATTAACTGTCTGTAAGGAATATAAATAAAATGTGACATGTTTATTTATTCTTATATTTGATGGTTCATTGATTATTGATTTTATGAAATAAGTGAGATTGTATATCTGTTGTTGTATCTAACCCTAATTAATTATTAAAAATTTCGCTAATGTGAATAATTGTATTGAAAGATTTTGGTGTAAAAAATAGTGAAATTATAAAGTTCACATTTACTTGAATCATTTTAAAATTTTTGAACAATTAACATGTGTTAAGAGTAGGGTACACACCTTAAAAATTGAAACTTTTTCTCAAGGAGATAATTAATTGTATATTTTTGCAATTTTGAGAGAAATATTGTTTACACCATTTGCCTTTTCACAAATTTTTAAATCCTAATTTCATATTACTAGGTACCCATAGATTAGTTATGATGTTTTCTAATCCAGAGGTAGCTACTACCTATCTATATTATAACTTTTGACACTTTCTGTAGATTTCACATTCTATTCAATGAATAACTTTTTATGAGCGTTTCATGGTCATGATATGTATATTTTCAACCAAGTTCCTCTTAACTTAACCTACCCTCAACATAAACATTGTTTGATGACGTTAAATTTCCTAATTCTAAGCTGATATACAAATATTTCAATTTAAAAACAACAATAAAATACCCCCACCGCAGCAAACCTGCAGACTAAGCGAATTTCCATTTGACTGATTTGATTTACACTGAAATGTCTACTGTCCGTGAGAGTAAAGAAGTCCCCTGAGCTCCGGCCTATTCGTAGTTTGAAGGCGTTACGCTTGAACGTTTCGCGCGACAATTAGAGCAGTCTTCACTCTTCACGCGGTTTGCCGTGTTCATATCAGGTAATACACCATCGACGTCTACACTTTGCCAACATTTCTGGAACGTGAAATTAACGTTTTGTTTCTATTGTCCATCTAAGTTTCGTCCAGATAGAAAATGTTCCTATTTTGTTCCCTTATTAGCTTTCTCATCTCTCGCAAATACTTTAACCTCCAATTAATAATGTCAGGCCTTTCAATCAAACATTTTCTTTTGGAATCACATTTCTTCCACTTTCACCCCATATCTTTTAAAATACGCCGAAGTGCCCATTTGATCCATTTAAAATTAATCCTTTCTCTCAAAACAGGTAATAGTTATTTTTCGCTACACTACTGTGAAATGACCTGTTTTCGTTCCATGTTTAATCACCTGTGAAAATCCATCGTTACATTATTTACTAAGGCAAAAATAGTGTTTATCTTTTTTATATTTTGCCGACGTAAAGAAACACATATTTCGTATTGCTTTAACAACTGTTTCAATTTTACGAAAAGTAACGTTTAAAACACGAGTGAAAGTGGGTTTATAGTCTACATATTCTCGACCATTCAAAGTGCTCGATAAATCTCGCACTTTAAGCATGGTCTCAAATATGTAATGACACACTTTCTACTCTTGTTATATACTATTACATGTAGGTACATTTTTTTTGTTCGTGTAAAAATCGCGTATTACATCTACGATTACACGTCTATCAAAACTATCTATTTGTCCTTTATGGTGGTCAGCCTTCTTGAGTTTTTTTCCCGGGTGTACAGAATTTTTAATCCGGAGTTTGTTTGCCGGGTTTTCTAATTCGTTTAATAGTTTTTTCGGCACGTTCTGTTGCCTTTTCTATTGGCACTAATAACTTTTTGTCTTTACATTATTGTCACAACACTCGATCACCCGTCTAATTAAATCCCTCCTCTCCACTATATGTATAGTAGCACCACATTTTCATAAATCCATAGCTGGAAGGACCGTCCAAAACAAAACAGAACTCAATACGCAAACATAAGAGACTGCAGTGGATCAAATGACGTGACCACATGATGATAACCACTTACCAAAACAAAGATATGAGTAATTATGTTTACAACAGTTGTTTACAGACAGACATGGAGACGATCGAGACGAGGCGCTCAGATGCTTAGCGCCTGCAAATAGTGCGCGATACCTTCCAAACATAGCTGCGTATCGCTCTGGCTCAAGGGACTTCTTTACTCTCGCGGACAGTACTTACAAATATAACATTTATTCCCGATTTAAATAGAATTAGTTTAACAAGTACTTAGGTTTGCTGCATCAGGGAGGGTAAAACTGTTTTTTTGTAAAACGTTAATAGTTAGTAAAAAATAAAAACATTTTCCAAATTTGATAAAAATATGTTCATAAACAAGCAAACTACAACAGTTTACTTATTCTCCATAAGAATAACATGGGAATTTTAAATTTACAATTTTTTGGAATTTTCTCCGTAACCATTAGGCGCATAATAACGCTTCAATATACTAAATTATTTGTTTTTTTTAAGCTCTACAAAATGGTTTGGAAGGAAATTGCTAAATTTTATGTTTTTTGGGTAAAAAATGGGAAAAACCTATTTTTACCCCATAAAAACCCCCGTTCCCATGGTCCGATCATGCTGGATCACGAACTCGTTCAAATAAACGTAGGTTTACACGTTTGTACCAAATTTCATCAAAATCGTTGTCGTTGTTATGGTTTGTTCGTTATGTAGAGGTAAAATATACATTGTGTCTTATGGAGAGTTCTATAGGGGATTTAAAAAAAATCGTTATATCAAGGAATTCGTTATATCGAGGTTCGTTATATCAAGGTTAGATTGTATTAATTTTTGTTCTGTTATATTCCAGGCCTGATGACAGGGTGGATGGCGATGGAGGCATGGAGGTTGGGGGAGAGAAGGCTGAAGAAGTGAAGACAAATCAGTTTAGATTCATTATAATGATTAGTTTAATATTTATTTTGAATACCAGTATACTTTTATTTACATTTTTTTTCTCATTTAGATTATTTAATTAAGAAAATGTTATAAAGATGTTTTCTTAAATTTTTAATATCTGTTTGTACTTCTGTCTGGTAAAAAACAAAACTGTTTATTATGTTTGTTAAAATGATTACTTCCACTAATGGACCTTGTCTTGGGTGAAAAGAGATATCTTGATATTTAACTAGCAGGGTGCCTGTTCTATCTATGGGCGGGGATCGTATAAGTCAGTTGAAACCTTCTTATATTTCGATATTTGGTAAATTAATCATTTCCAACTTTATATAGTATAGATCGCTATTTCTGTATTGATGTACTGAAATGAATAAAATTATATGAAATTAAATGTTGTTTTTTTATATATTCTGATGAAACACTATTGATAAGGCATAACAATATTCTAAAGTTTATAACAGCTGATGTTTGTGTTTTTATTAATGATTTATTGTATTGTGACTTTTGAGTGGTTGAAGGATTTGTGGTGATTTGGTTTTAAGGAGATTGATGTTCCTAATTTTTTAAAGTCTATCTATATCTATATATACTTATTTAATACGCAAGCAGGTCTTTTGTGACAATTACCCCTTTGAAACTACTGAACCGATTGTCATGATTTTGGTGTCATTGGAAAGAGCGTAGCGTGAAGTTGTGCAGGAAACTTTCTTTTTAGGGAAATAATGAGAGAGTGAGGCCCTGGAGCCCTTTAAAGTTTCTTATTTGTCCATAAGATTAACATGGGAAACAAAAATTGTTATGAAACTCCAGCTGTTGTCAGAAATCAAAAGTGAGAAGAAGAGCATAGGTTAATTGTAAACAGTCAATAAGTTTGCTAATAAAACAGTTTGCTACAAATATTTGCTGACTTGGTTGAAATGAAATATTTACAATTTGAATTTAATAATACAACATACTCTTATTTTATCTTAGCATAGCTTTCAGCTCATATTTACTTTATTTGATACATTTATTATTAGTGTTTTGCAACAACACTGATTAAATTAAACCAAGGAAAATACCGGTATCATAAAACTGCAGTACACAGTATTCTTTTTTTTCTAAAAATCTATGAAATATCTGTTACTATGTTTACTTAATGGTAAGTGTGAAAATGTAAAGGCAATGGATGATGGAACTGGTTTGTATATTAAGTTGGTTTTTTATATTTTTAGAGTAGAATCACAGATGCAATGAAACATATACCGTATTTGCTATTACATTTTTTAGTCCTTGATGCTTTGATAATCATATTAATTTGTCTGCTGTCTTTAACACTAAATTATTTGTTTAACATTTTTTATAGTACCTATATATATAGTTTCTTTAATATTTCAAAAGACTGTATTGATAAGGCACAGCAATATTTCTAAAGTTTATAACAGCTTACTTAGTTTTGCTTTGGTTTTGCTAATGATCTATTGTGAGAGAAGAAACTGAAGATGGAAGGATTTGTGATTTAATATAAAGAAGAGTTAAATTTAAAAAAATTGTCATTTAAATCTAATAATTAGTTTTTTTGCAACTTCAAAGTTGAAATTGAAAATGTCAATAATAAATTAAAAGATATATGTAACTATAGGGAGATGAAGGTAAATAATGTATGTCAAAGTTTTATTTGAGGATTTGGTCAGTTTTCCGCATATCAGCCAACACAAGATTTAAAATTAATCAAAACCAAAATGGTGGTATCCACTACTTACCAGATTTAAAAGTCATAACTTAAATGTTTCTAAACGTTGAATTTTGTTTCTAAAAGCGTTGGGGGATGTGTAACTATTATATGCAACAGATGTAAAGATTAAAATGTTTCTGTTCTGTATCCTCTTCCCGTTGCAAAGCACGGGTACAACGTACAACAGCTAGGGGAATGTTGCTGGAAGTCAACAGTCCCGGAAGATCAAATAATTTATACCTGTGCCGCTAGGTCAAAAACTACAATGTTTGCAGTGTCTGTAGATCAAAAGTCCCAGTAAGTCAAATAATACAGTCCGAGCTAAAAACGAGGTCTATGTTAAAGCAATTGACTTATTGGGAATTTGACCTAATGCAACAGCAGTTTTAATATAACGAAATACGGTAAAATACAAGTTCAGTTTCGCTGAGTCAACAGTGCCGGAAGATCAAAAGCAATAAAAGTGAACGTCGATTCAGTGTAAAGTAGACCTCTTGCAACGCTTACTACACCAACAAAACTCGCTTTTAGTTACTTCGTGTTTTGTCATAATTAGAATAGAGCTAAAATTATCATATTTGGTACATAGCTTATCTATTAATGCTTCTTGCCAACTGTTTGGTCAACACTGTAAATAGGTATAGCCTTTCGTCAAAATTTGTGGCATAAAATACCCGCAAGGACGATCTGAAAATTTCTGGTTATTATATACGTTTGTAAAAGGAGATCCATTGAATTGTAGAACTATTTTATGAGTTATAATGTAGTCTACATATAAACTGTGTAAATGTATTACGCCTCGGAAGGGTTGAAACCTGTCCAAACTATCATATATACTATTAAAACGTAAATGGGATTTTTTCACGATTCTGAATCAACCAGACGATGGATTTTCATTAGTTTTGTGTTGAAAGAAAGACAATTTTGAGAACTAGGGAATTTCAAAGCCATAATTTAAAATTAGTGTCCCAGTTTTTTATAAATTAAGTTTTAGTTTTTAAAACGTCTAGCAGCCGATGCTAACCTTCTCCAATAAGTCAATGCTTCTAGCTAGCTTTTAGTACAATATAATTTGCTTAACATAACAGCTGTAACATTCAGCATTTGTGACACAAATTCAGCATTTGGAAGAAAATTCAAATACATACTTATGGTTGGCTTATTTATACTATGTGTAATGCTGACCATTGATACATTTAATTCTTCGGTACGAGGATGGCAGATTAATTAAAAACAGCCAATGGAAAAAAGACTTGCGGTGTACAAAAAAAAAAAAAAAAAAAAATGTTGTTTCAGGAGTCCCACAAGGGTCCATTTTGGGCCCTTATCTGTATAATATCTATGTTAGTAATTTTCCTGCTATCAATAAGGTTGAAATTAGTATGTATGCTGACGACACGTCAGGTGTATGCTGGGCTCAGTCTTTTGATGAACTCAAGCAGGGCATGGCCGAATTTGTACATAAAGCCAGCTCATATTTTGAAAATATTAATTTCAAAGTCAACCTAGATAAGACAGAAATTGTAGTTTTCGGATTGAGTAGTACGGGCATTCCTCTGATAGATTTAGTTAAGGATGATGTGATCTTTGAAAGTAAAGAGTGCTGTAAGTTTTTGGGACTATATATAGATCAGACCTTAACTTTTAAGAATCATATATCTCATGTAAGATCTAGACTTTTAAGTGGAATCAGCCTCCTCAGAAGAATATCTTTTTATTTAGATACAGATACGTTAAGAAGAATTTATTTTGGTGTCATATTTCCTTTCTTGTCTTATGGCCTTATTTTCTGGGGATGTTCTCCCGACTGTAATTTACATACAATTTTTGTTCTCCAGAAAAGAGCAATCAGACTGATAGCCAAAGTATGGTACAAAAGGTCTTGTAAAGATATTTTTGTTAATTTAAATCTCCTCACTTTGTATGGACTATACATTTATCAATTAATTATGCTTGTGAAAAATGATGTAAAGCACACAAATAAAAATAGTCAAATCCACAGGTACGACACGAGACGGAAGGATGATTTTCACCGTGTGAGGAGGAATTTCAACAAAACTGGCCGAAGTCCTTTTGTGATGGGGTCAATTTATTTCAACCTCCTACCAAACAATATAAAGGAATTAGAAGGCACTAAATTCAAAATTGCTCTGAAGAATTGGCTAGTTAAAAAAAGACCGTATTCATCAAAAATTTCAGATCTAACCGATTCGGCATAACAATTTGGAAAACTACATTTTGAGTGATCTAAGTTGAGCCCAGGTTTGTACACTAAGAGGTAATATTGTTTTATATACATTGAAATTGTATTCTTTTTTCTTTTGTTTTGACATTGGTGACTTTTGTCTATGCATTGTATATATATGTTTATGGACAATAAATGATTTGATTTGATTTGACATTTTACATCATGTAGCTCCTAAACGAGTAAGTTTAGAGCAAAATTGCAAAAAGTAAATTAGTGTTAGAATTGCATCTACATTCCTTAAAGACTATAAAATAAAACGTTTTCCACTTTTCAAGTTTGCCGCCATTTTTTAAATAATATGATTCATATTTTTAATGAATTTTATGGTCTTTTTGGAATGTGGATGCAATTGTTAGACTTTTTTACTATTCGCATTTTTGCTATAAACTTACTTGTTTATGAGCTACATGATGTAAAATGTATACCGGAAGTCATTTTTCCATAGGCTGTAACTCCTAAACGAGTGGGTTTATCGAAAAAATGTCAAGGGTAAAAAAGTTTTAAATTGCCTATTCTATCCGAAAACATGATAAAATATAGGGTGTTCCATAAGAAATTTCAAATTTGGCCGCCATTTTGGAAAATGGCGGCTGAATTTCAAAAAACTAGATACAGTAGTCACCACTCTATGCGACATATTCTAACCAGAAAATTGTAACCGTATGATTCTATAAGCATTGGTAGGATTGCAAAGTACTACACAAACATTATTTCAACAGTTACAATTTCCGCTGACTTTAAAATAGTCAACTTAAATATTATACTAATGGACACACAACTAAATGGAACAACTAATGGAAATACTCACGATGTACATATAACAGTTCGATACATATAAGCATTGAGTATACACGTCAGTAGATAGTGTATACCCAATGATATATGCAACGGTTCTTGCAATTTATTGCTTATTGTTTTTTAGAGTTGTTTTCGGACTTACTCACACTCGTATTAAGGTTGTCCACGTTTGTCATTGATGATGTAGCCATGTTACACCCATTATCACGAATATGTTTAAAAGTTTTCCGTCTGTTTTTGAATAGCGATACATTTTTTCACATACTTAAGAACCACCTGATTTCGTGCATTACATGTTCGTCTCAATTTTATTTGCTTTAGTAGGCATTCTTTTGGTTGATGAGGACTTCAATCGGCCCTTTCAATGATTGCTCATGAAATACAGTACTTTGTCCATTAATTTTTATTGTTTGGTAAAATGGATTAAATTATCACAATTTCCGCTGACTTTAAAAGAGTCAACTAAACTATTATACTAATGGACACACAACTAAATGGAACAACTAATGGAAATTCTCACGATGTACATTCGTTCGATATAAGCATTGAGTATACACGTCAGTTGTATACCCAATGATATAAGCAACGGTTCTTGCAATTTATTGCTTATTGTTTTTTAGAGTTGTTTTCG